GGCCTGGAGGGTGTTTGAAGTGGTTATTTCTAAAAGTTTGTTTGAAAGCAGAGAGCCCCGTGATTTGAAGCGAGAAGTAGAGTGCGCTTTTTTGAGGGGGGAATGGGAACTTTTGGGGGGGTCTTTGTGATGCGGTTTTAAGTTTTTCCCTGTAAAAATGTCGGCTGTGATTTAAAACATAGGTGCGAGATGCCAAATATATATAGAGAGACATAAACATACGGGGGAGAGTGGGGCGATGGGCGTGCGGGTCCTGAGCTGGTTTTATTTTTCCCTCTATCGATGGGAAAATCTTCCCCAGGATGCAGAGAACGGGATAAATACGGAATTCAGGGGATGGGTGAGAGGTTTCTCCATTAAAAAAAAAAAAATACTAAGAGAGAAGCTGAAAGCGTGGGAGGGATGCGCCCCGTTTTGCTGCGTTTTCCCCTCTTTTAACTTTTTTCCCACCCATTGTTGGTTTAGTTGCTGTATTTATTTTTTTTTTTCTTCTTTCCCCTTTTGCTCTCCAGTTTCCACCCCGCTGGGCCAGGGCAGGGTGAACCAGCTCGGAGGGGTTTTCATCAATGGTCGCCCACTACCCAACCACATCCGACATAAAATCGTGGAGATGGCTCACCACGGGATCCGGCCCTGCGTGATCTCCCGCCAGCTGCGGGTCTCCCACGGTTGCGTCTCCAAAATCCTCTGTAGGTACCAGGAGACGGGCTCCATCCGGCCAGGAGCCATCGGAGGCAGCAAGCCCAGGGTGAGTGTAATGCTGGGGCCGAGCTCAACCACCCTCCTGATGTTAAAAAAAAATCAGGTCTTTTTTCAGGGGGTATAAATTTCCAGGTGGATATGCAGAAAAAGGGGGGAGAAGTGGAAGGGGCTTGAATAAAGCTGCAGTTGGCAGGCTCAGATGGGTGGAAATCGGTGCTGAGTTGAAGGATGTGAATAAATCAGTGATTTGATTTTTTTTTCTATATGCAACAAGTGGTGTGAGTTCAAGCATTCACTTCGGTCCCGGTGTGTGGGGTGGAGGCGAGATGGGATGTTTTGGGGGAGAATAAATTGCTGGGTGTACACAATCCCCCAAAAAATAATCCCCTGCACCCCTTCCCTATCTCCTTCCCCTCTGGGGCTCAGGATAAATCGATCTGGTTGATTTCTGTGTCCCCCGAAGACTCTGGTTTTGGGGTGGCCAACGTTTGGGAGAGGATGACCATTCCCCAGTTTTATTTTCTTCCTTTTCCCCCTTCAAATCTCTACTCTCACCCCCAAAACTACCAGCCAGGAGGATTGAACTGAACCAAACACATTTTCTTTTCAATTAAAAGCGCTTTTTTTTTTTCTCTCCCTTTCCCTCTTTCTGCGCACGCGGGCACGCACCGGTATCCCTTGATCACAAAAGCAGGTTGCGACTCCCGACGTGGAAAAGAAAATCGAGGAATACAAACGGGAAAATCCCGGGATGTTTAGTTGGGAGATCCGAGACAGGCTCCTGAAGGATGGGCACTGCGACCGGAGCACCGTGCCCTCAGGTGAGAAGGCAGCTTGGCAAGAAAGACACCCCAACACCTGCAGGAAGATGGAGGGAAATAATTATCACCACCTTAAAAAAAAAAAAAAAATTCCAGGGGCTATAAACATCCTCTTGGCCTTTGCTTTGATAGGGGAGGGGGGAAAAAAAAAAATAAAACACCCCGAGCAAACCCACAGCAGCAAATAGATAACAAGAGAGGGGAGTTTGTGCCCTGGTCGTGCTGCGGTCTGTTGGAAAAACAAACACTAATAAACCAGTTTTCCCAATTTATTCCAACTGCTGTGGAAGGGGGGGGGGGCTGCTGGTGTGGAGGGAGCATGCACGGAGGTAGCCCCCAAATCCAGGGTGACAGGGGACCCCTGTTGCCCCGTTGGGATTTGTTTTCCATCAGCCAGGGACCCCCCTTGCCTGGGGAGAGTGTCCCCGTACCCCAATTTTGGGGATGTGGGAGACCTTTAGGGTGAGAGTTTCCCTTTGTTTTGGGGGGGCTGAGCCTCCTCTGCAGGGTGCATCTCCCCCAAAGCAGGACAGGGCCCAGGGCTGAATCACAGCTGCAGGTCCCAGTTGGGACTGGGATGAAATCCAGGTATTGGGGGGGCCTTTTCCCAGTGTCCCAGGGAGCCCTGGGGGTGCTGTGATGCTCCATGGGGTGCTGAGCACAACTGGGTGCTGCCGTGCCGGGTGTCCCAGGGGGACAGTGACAAGCATGGCCAACTTTGGGTGCGATGGTGGGGTGAACCCTGGGGTGTTTCAGGGGGTGCAGAGGGGCTGGCAGGTGCGTACCCCTGGGAAAAAGTGGAGTGCAGGTGCCCTTCAGGTGTGTTCAAGCCCCAAATTTGGGTTTTCCTGACTGGCTCCCACCTTGCCTTCCCCGGCAGCTTATATTTGCCTTTTTGTCTTTGACTGTCTGAGGTTTAGTGAGTTCGATTAGCCGGGTGCTCCGCATCAAATTCGGGAAGAAAGAGGAAGAAGAGGACTGCGACAAGAAAGAGGAAGATGGGGAGAAGAAGGCCAAGCACAGCATAGACGGCATCCTGGGCGACAAAGGTAAAGGTGACCGTGCGGGCTGGGCTGGAGGGGACATTTAGGAGAGGGGACACGTCCCTCCTTACCAAAAATAAGCCGGGGATGGCTCCAGAGGCTCTTGTGTTCGTCCTTTCTGAAAATGCTGGCAGAGATGAAGGCGTGATGCAGGGCGCCGGGAGGGGATGATGGTCCCCAACCCCTCGGGCTGAGGATGCTCTCCCAGGAGGAAGAGTTGTCGGTGTTTTGCCTCTGGATCAATTATTTATAAAGGGGGAAAAAGAGATGGCTGGAGGGGGGTGGGAGAGCATCTCTGATTCCTAAATGAATTTGTTAAACAGATTTCTTTCCTGCTCTCTAAGTGGTCCCCTGAAACTCCGGCTGACAGTTGACCGATTTGGCCAAGCAATATCAATTAGAGAAGCCGGGATCGGCGCTGCGCTGGGGCTGCTGCAGAGCCACCGGTGCCGAGGGGAGATGGGGGGAGTCCTGGGATCAGAGGAAAACTGGGGTTCTGCACCCCTAAATCAAATCAGAAAAAAATCAATCTGGCATTTTGGATGAA